CCCCTAGGGGTGATCTCTGTGCCCCCAGAGCCGGCTCCTCATTCCCCTGTCATTCCCCAGCAAATCCCTGCCCTGGAAAGCTCCTTTGCCAAAGGCTCCCCAAGCCTCTCCCATCAGGAATTAACCCCCTGGCTGCTGCTGCCCACCCAAACCACCTCCCCGAGCTGCGTGAGGTCTGCAGCAGGCTCAGAGCAGCTGCTGAGCTGCAGCAGCAGCGTGGGTGTGCTGAGAGACCCGAGCCGGGGACATTTGAGGGCTGTTAAGCAGGATTTCCACACAAAAGGAGCTATTTAAATTCCCTTTCCCTTTGCAACAGGCAAATTAAACTTCATCCAGAGAGCTCAAAGCAATTCGGTAAAACCGCAGCGAGTCATTTGTTCAGCATCTGCTGCATCGGTGCTGGGAGCATCTCCCGACACCCCCAAGTCCCCAAAAATGCCCAGGGGGGGACACGGGGCTCGAGGTCGGGCCAGTGGCACTCCTGCTGCCGCGTTTGGGTGAAATCTCCCCAGATTCGGGGCCTCCTGGGCTGTGGGCACCCCCTGGGTGAGTTCAGTGCCCTCCTGCAGATTCCCCAAGGGCAGTGCTGGGTCTTCCATGCTCCACCCGGAGCTGCCCAGGCAGGGCTGGGCTGGGACGCTCTCCTGGTGGGGAGAGGATCCTTCAGGGCACAAAGTGTGATATAATTTTATATTTATAAAATTATAAATATGTTTTAATATTATATATTTTTATTTATTTATTTATAATCTTTTTATAATATATAAATATTGTATATTTCTAATTATATTAATTAGAAATATACAGCATTTATAAATTATAAAATATATCTATTATAAAATATACAAATTATATATTTAACAATAATAATTAATATCATTATATTTTATATTATATGTGAATATATATTATATTGTATAATATAATATAATATAATATAATATAATACTTATTTTATATGGTGGATATAATCTATAGTATATAGCATTGTATATTATAATCTATCATCTATAATACTATATATTTATAATAGTCTATAATATATTCACCATATATGGTGAATATATTATAGACTGTTATAAATATATAATATTTTCTATAAAATGTACTATAAAATATTTATAATATTTTATAAAAAATATACTATGTAATCTTTATATATTTACAGATAAAACCAGGCAAGCTGCAATGGTCAGGTCACACATGTGGCTGGAGCAGCTCTGAGGATGTTCCCCCTCTCTGGGCAGTGCCTGGGTGCCCCATCCCTGGCCTTTGGAGGAGTTTATTTGGGATTTCTGTGGCAGACACGGGGGAAGGTGACTGACAGTGCTCTCCTTGTGCTTTCTGTGCAGAGGAGCCCAGGCTGGCTGTGCTGGACCCTTCACCATGTGAACGTGCCCAGGCTCCAATGCCTCAGCAGAGCCCCATGTCGGAGCAGCCCTGCACCTGCAGAACGGTGAGAACTCCCTGGGGTCCAGTGGGACTGGGGGTTGTGCACTGGGACACCCAAAATCCAGCTCATTTTGACCTCGTGGCACCCTTGCTTGGTGGCATTAGCTCCCTACTTGTCCCCTGTGACCGTGTTCACAGGGGTTCTTGGATGAGGGAAGAGATGGGGATCTGACTCCGTGTTTCAGAAGGCTTGATTTATTATTTTATTATATATATTACATTAAAACTATACTAAAAGAATAGAAGAAAAGGTTTCATCAGAAGGCTGGCTAAGAATAGAAAAAAATCAGAAAGAATGATAACAAAGCTTCTGTCCTGGACAGAGAGTCCAAGCCAGCTGACTGTGATTGGCCATTAATTAGAAACAACCACACAACACCAATCACAGATGCACCTGTTGCATTCCACAGTAGCAGATAATCATTGTTTACATTTTGTTCCTGAGGCCTCTCAGCTTCTCAGGAGGAAACATCCTAAGGAAAGGATTTTTCATAAAAGATGTCTGTGACAGTCCCCAGCTCCTCATGCAGCAGGAGCATTCAGCTGGACATGGAGCAGGTGGGAGATGTCCAGCCTGTTTTCACCACCCCAAAATGAGCCAGAAGAAGCTCAGGCAGAGCTGTGGTGTGAATCTCTGAGGTGCTGAGGTCAGGGTTGGTGGCAGACAGCAATGGGACCCCCCCCTTGGTCACTGTGGGACCCTCAGCCTTGGCCATGCCAGGATCCACGTGCAGCAGTGCTTTGGGGTTTGGATGGAGTTCCTGGGGTTTGGGAGTTCATCAGCTCAGAGAGGAGCTCTGCAGGCTTTGCCCCTGCTCTGCTGTCCAGATGCCAGGTAGGGACTGAAGCCACACAGCCCCATTGTCCCCTTTCCCTTCCCCCATGGAGATTTCTGGTTTTTGGGATCCTCTTGTGGCTGCACATGGAAGGAGCTGAGCTGCTCTCCTGCTGCCCCAGCTGATGCCCTCCAGCCACAGATCTGGGACTGACGCCAGCGTGTCTCGCTCCAAATGTCACCACTGCCACATCAGTGTCACCCTCCAGCCCGGGGGGGTTTGGGGATGGCACAGCTGAACCTCCCCAGGCTCTGCTGGGCCCCTCTGGGATCTGGGGTGAATCTCCCTGTCCCCTCCCCTCTCTGGGATGATCCCAGGGATTAGTCCTGCTCCCACCTCATGTGACAGGGCTGGGTTGGGATTTCAGGAGCTGTTTCACCCCTGACATGGGTTGGGATGTCAGGAGCTGTTTCACCCCTGTCATGGTTTGGGATGTCACGTCTTGTTTCCTCCCTGTCATGGGTTGAGATTTCAGATGTTTCATCCTTGGCATGGGTTGGGATGTCAGGGGCCCTTGGAGACCTTTCCACCCCTGCCATGGGTTGGGATTTCAGGAGCTGTTTCACCCCTGTCGTGGCATTTTGCTCTCCCTGCTCCCATGATCATAATTGGGATGGCAATAAAATCTCCAGTGAAGCAGCAGCTGCAGACAGATCTTAACAAATGCTCTCAGCCCTGGAGTGATGCTGAGCAGAGCTGGGAGGGGGAGGGAAATCTGTCACTCCATGCTGCTCCTGGCTGGAATTCCCACTCCCAGCAGGGTTTCCAGCAAATTGGGGGCTCCACCTCTGCCCCTTTCCCCCCTGTCCCCACAGGGCTCCAAGCTGGGTTCTGCAGAGCCGAGCAGCCCTGCTGGGACCAGGCTGCTCTCCAGCCACAGCTGCCTGTCCCTGCAGCTGTCCGTCAGTCTGGCCTGTCAGTCTGCTCCTCTGCCCACATGTCCAGCAGTCCAGTGGGATTAAAGCGTCTGGAGTGATGGATCCCCCTGCTGAGGTGCAGAGCAGCCAGGGCTCCCTCTCCAGAGGGCAGCTGGCCTTGCTGGGCACCCCTGC